GAGGAGGGGGAGGAGGAGGAGGAGGAAGGAGGAGGGGGAGGAGGAGGAAGGGGAGGAAGAGGAGGAGGAGGAGGAGGAGGAGGAGGAGGCGGGGGAGGAGGAGGAGGAGAACGGAGAGCGGAGAATTGAGAACGGATAACGGAAAATGGAAAGCGGATGACAGATGGCGGAGGGAGAAAGGAGGATGGTGGAGGGAGGACGGAGGAGACAGGTAAGAGGAGAGAGGACGCATGACGATGATGAAGGTGATGATGATGATGATGATGTTGATGATGATCATGATGATGAGGATGAGGACGACGATGATGCTGCTGATGATGGTGATCGGGATGGGGAGGGGAATGGTGATGGTGATGATGATGGTGATGATGATGTTGATGATGGTGGTGGTGATGACGATGCTGGTGATGATGGTGGAGATGATGGTGATGATGCCGATGCTGATATTGATGATGATGGTGATGATGATGATGGCGATGATGGTGGTGATGATGGTGTTGGTGAAACTGGTGACGTTGAAGGTGGTGATGATAATGATGATGATGGTGATCATGATGTTGATGGTGATGGTGATAGTGATGATGATGATGATGATGATGATGATGGTGATGATGATGATGCTGCTGATGAGGATGAAATTGATGGTGATGATGAACATGATGATGCTGATGCTGATGATGCTGATGATGGTGATGATGATGATGATGAGCATGATGATGATGTTGATGATGATGATTATGATGATGATGATGATGACGATGGTAGTGGTAATGATGATGATGATGATGATGATGATGATGATGATGATGATGATGATGATGATGATGATGATGATGCTGATGATGATGATGATGATGATGATGATGATGATGATGATGATGATGATGATGATGTGGATGATGGGGATGATGAGGACGATGCGGTGGAGCAGGAGGGGCGAGGGTTTGCCTCCTCATGTCCCTCTTCCCCGAAAGCTACTTCTCGCACCACCGTGCGCTTGAATGAGGAGCAGTAGCAGCTGGAGTAGGAAGATGAGGACGGTGATGGTGATGACGATGGTAGCCCCCCGGCGGTTCAAGGAGGCAGCGGCCAGTACAGCCTGGGCTTTGCATCCACACCAGAGCCGAGCGCACCCAAGCCCGAGCCCACGCGAAAGGCGGAGCCCCCCCCTCCCCTCCCGGCGGAAACGGCCTAGCCCCCTTCGCCACGGACGCAAGTGGCAAGGAATCCGAACCGACCCCCCCTAATTAACCCGAGGCTCGATGGGAGATGCGTGGACCCAGCTTTGCACCAGCCGCTGCGGCCGCGGCGGCAGCAAGCCTATCGGCACAACGCGGCACGGTCGAGGCCGCAGCGGCCCCCGAACCAAGGCACGATGATGTTGATGATACGGCAGGTCGTGGCGATGATGATGATGATGATGATGATGATGATGATGATGATGATGATGATGATGATGATGATGATGATGATGATGATGATGTTGATGGCGATGATGACGTTGATGGCGATGATTATGATGGTGATGATGATGATGCTGATGATGATGATGATGATGATGATGATGTTGATGCTGATGATGCTGGTGCTGATGGTGCTGATCGTGATGATGGTGATGCTAATGGTAATGAGGATGATGAGGATGATGATGGTGATGATGATGATGATGTTGGTGATGATTGTGCTCATGTTGATAATGATGATGATGATGATGATGATGATGATGATGATGAGCATGGTGATGCTGATCATGGTGATGATGATGATGATGATGATGATGATGATGATGATGATGATGATGATGATGATGATGTGTATGCTCATGCTGCTGTTGATAACGACGATGGTGATGGCGATGGTGATTACGATGATGATAATGATGCTGATGGTGATGATGATGATGACGATGATGATGATGATGCCGACGGTGATGCTGATGCTGATGATGGGAATGCTGATGAGGAAACAGATCACGATCATGATAATGGAGAGAATGGTGATGGTGATGATCATGATGACGATGATGACGATGATCAGGCTGATGATGGTGCTGATGCTGCTGCTGATGATGATTGCGCTGCTGAGGATGCTGAGTATGATGATGTTGGTGATGACGATGATGATGGTGGTGATGGTGATGGTGATACTGATGCTGTTGATGATCATGATGATGATTACGATGATCATGATGATGATGATGATGATGATGATGATGATGATGATGATGATGGTGGTGGTGGTGGTGATGATGATGATGATGATGATGATGATACGATGGTGGTGGTGACAATGGTTATGTTGCTTGCCATTATGATGCTGCTGATATTGATGTTGATGGTGATGATGATGATGGTGATGTTGATGATGGTGATGGTGCTGATGTTGATGATGATGCTGCTGATGATGATGGTGGTTGTTGCATGGAGGGTGATGATGATAATGATGATGATGATGGTGATGGTGATGATGATGATGATGATGATGATGATGATGATGATCATCATTATGATGATGATGATGATGATGATGATGATGATGATGATGATGATGATGATGATGATGATGATGATGATTTAGCTAACGATTGTGTACGACGATGGTGGTTCTGGTTGTGGTGGTGGGTGAGGCGGTGGTGATGATTTTGATGGTGATGCTGCTGCCGATGATGGTGATAAGGCTGCTTCCGCTGAGAAGGAGGAGGAGGAGGAGGAGGAGGAGGGAAGAAGAGGAGCATAATCAGGAGGAGGAACACGAGGAGGACGAGGAAGAGAAAGGATTCGGCGAGGTCGAGAGGACAGATGCTTGGCTGGGATGGACAGGTAGGGAACTGAACTCCCTCATCCACCGACCACCCTCCTCCCTCTCTCCCTCCCCCGTCCTCGAGCCAGAGCAGGTCGAGGACATGAAAGAGGAAGAAGTGGGCGACGACAGTGGGCAGCTCGCCCAGATGGAGATTCTGTCCAAGGACAGTGTTTGGAAGAGGTGGGCCAGGAGGGGAGGAGGACGACGAGGAGAGGTTGGGCCAGGAGGGGAGGGGAAGAGGTTGGGCCAGGAGGGGAGGTGGGCCAGGAGGTAGGCCAGGTGGGCAGTGTTTTGAAGAGGTGGGCCAGGAGGGGACGGGAAGAGGTGGGCCAGGAGGGGAGGAGGAGGGCGAGGAGGAGGAGGAGGAGGAGGAGGAGGAGGAGGAGGAGGAGGAGTTGTTGCTGCCTCTGCTGCTGCCTCTGCTCTCTGCGGCATCTGGGTCACGCTCGCAATGCCCGCCCCAGTTTGTTTGGACGGGTTCCGACTGGCTCCAAGACAGGCCAAGGTGGCTCCAAGACGGCCCCGTCGGACTCCGATGCAGCCCAAGAGGGCTCCAAAGAGGTTCAATCTTGCCCCAAGACGGCCCAATATGCCCCGGAGACGGCGCAAGAGGGCCACAAGAGAACCCCCAGGAAAGCCTCCAGGGGCAAAAACCATGGGACGCTTCCAAGTGCTTAAAGGATCTAGTTGGTCGCCTTATAAGGCTTATGACACCCCAAAACGGCCCAAGACGCCGCTCAGACAGCCCCACAGAGGCGGAAAAGGGCCCCAAGACAGCCCAAGAACGCACCAGGACGGCCCAGGAGGCCGCCACGACAGCCGAAGATGCCCCCAAGAAAGCCCCAAGAGGAGCCTAATGTTAGGATTTCCACGGGGCTTCGGGGGTCCTCCCCCCTTCCAAGATGGCCCCCACGTGGCCCAAGCTGCTCCCCAGGGGCCCGCCAACGGGCCCCTCATAGTTTCAAGAGGGCCCAAAGAGCACCCACCATTAACAGTGCCTTCAGAGGCAAAGGTCAGCGATTCGATGCTTGCTTTGAATGAGACTCGCGCTCTCGCCGTCTCGGGCTTCTGGAAGCCCCAAACGGCCCAGGAGGCCCCCCGAGGCCTTCGAGATGCCACGAGAAGCTCCGCGAGAGGCCCCCAAGGGATCCCCAAACGCCTCGTCGTCGTCCTCCTTCTCCCTCCCCTTCCTTTTTTCCCCCGTGCCGGACCAAGCCGGGCGCAACGCCCACTCTTGACCCGTTCGGGACGCGCGCACTTTTTGGGTCTGCGGGTCGGGAGCGGGCCGACGGGGCGCGCGCACAGGCCACCCGGGTAAACCCCCCAAAAAGTCCCAGGACGACCCAATATCTCCCCCAAACGGCCCAAGGAACTTCGAGGGCAGCCCAATCTGCCTTCCAGAAGGTTACAAGAAGTGCTGTATTTCGACGTTTGGGATCAGGCTGGTTGGGCGCAGTCCACCAATTCATGATTCGTGCGTTTCAGAAATCCAGCAAACTGCCTGCGAACGCTCCCCAGGTCCTCCGAGACTCTCCGTGGGAAGCATGCGCATCCTTGTGTCGCTGCTGGCGAACTCATTGCTGGCGTCCGTTGCTGAACGCTTCAGGCTGGCTCCAGCTCAGCACGGGTCAGTCGCCGTCGCAGTGGGCCAGCGCCGCCGGCAGCCGCCCGGGGGCCGTGGCCGTGGTGGCTTCCTGCCGCCGACAGCCGACGTCGGAGCCCCGCGCGTCGTGCAGAGCAGCGGATCGCGCCCCGCCGCGCTGGTGCAGGTCCCGAGCTCCCGGCACCTGCACACCGTCACCGGTCCGGGGGCCCGGCATGCAGAGCGGACCGACGATGCCAGCAGGGGGGGGCCGCACGGGCCGCGAGGGAGGGCCGGCCGCGAGGCCATGCCCAACGCCATGGGCGAGCGGAGGGCCGTGCAGGTGCAGGGATCCGCCATGGGGCCGCAGTGGCCCTCGGAAGGGGTGGCGGTCACGCTGTGCTTCAGGCCGTGGGCGAGCGGAAGGCTGCCTGTGCAGGACCGGGGCGCGCAGGTCCGCCCGAGCGCTGCAGAGGCCGTCGGGGATGGCGGCGGCGAGGCCGTCCTTCGGGCCGTGGGCGAGCTGAGGGCTGCGCTAGACGACGCGGATGCGAAAGTCCTCCAGAATGCCGCAGTGGGAGGAGGAGGAGGAGGAGGAGGAGGAGGAGGAGGAGGAGGAGGAGGAGGAGGAGGAGGAGGAGGAGGAATGAGGGAGGAGGAGGAGGAGGAGGAGGAGGAAGGAGGAGGAGGAATGAGGGAGGAGGAAGGAGGAAGGAGGAAGGAGGAAGGAGGAGGAAGGAGGAGGAAGGAGGAGAGCTGCTCTACGAGGCTCGGCTGGGGGACGGCGGAGTGCCGCAGCGGCCATCGGGAAGGGCGGCCACGGGGCCGTGCTCTATGTAGGCACTGGGCGAGCTTGAAGGCTGCGAAAGCACGACGCGGATGCAGAGGTCCGCCGGAGTGGCGCGTGGGCTATCTGGGAAGGGCGGTCGCGAGGCCCTGCGCCAAGCCTCTGGGCGAGCTGAGGTCAGGAGGGGGAGACACACACACAGACACAATGAATCGTCGATTCCCCCCCGAAAATATGGGAAAATATGGGGAGTGGGGGGGAAGACAAAAACCCAGAACATGTGGGGAAATATGGGGGATCCTCTTATTTGTGCCTATTTGTTTGTGTGTCCCAGTCAATTCAGGCTTCGCGCGGCCCGCTTCGTCTCGACCGGAAGAGGTGCGCTCTCGACCCGCGACTCAAAAAAAGTCTGTGTGTCCCAGGGCCCCTTCGTAAGGGCTGCCCTGCCAGAGGAGGCTGGGGGGGGGCTCCGCGGGCATGCCGCGGGGGCAAGCGGAGAGGGCGGCGGGGAGAAGGGCGCTGCGTCGGGCCGTGGGCGGGCGGAGGCCTCTGCTGCAGGGCGCGCGGGTGGGCGTCCGCGCGCCGGCCCGGGAAGCGACCGGGGAGGGCGGCAGCAGGGCCGTGGCCCTGGCATTAAGTCGGGCCCCTACAGGGGGATTTTCGACGAACAAAAAAAAATACTCCAGAAATAGTTAAAAAAATACCCCCAAAATAGTCCAGGGACTATTTTTTGAGTATTTTTTGACCTTGGGGCATTTTTAGGGTATTCTTTATTTTTCGTCAAAAATCTCCCTGTAGGGGGACACGCCCGACATAACCCTGGCACGGAGGGTCTGGCAGGGTCTGCTGAGCGACTCAGGCGCCAGGGTTCGCGAAGCCACCGCGTCGTCGCTGCAAAGCGGTGGCGCGACGGTCGTTCCCCGCACGGCGGCGCACGTGCGGCGTTTTGTGTTGGTCGGGGGTGGACAGACCTCCTACCCTGACACGTCGATTAAGGAATTGGCCGTTTCCGGTTTGCGAGAGGGCGTCGCGGTCGTCATTTTTGCGGATCCAGGTCCGTCGGTATCGGTCCCAGGCCGTTTTCACTAAAGGGAGGTTTACTAAAGGGAGGTTTGTCCACCGCCGAGTTGGATTCGCAGGAGTTCTTAGCAACGCAGCAGGTACCGCAGACAAGCTGGGCCTGGCAGCGATCGAGGACTGCCTCCCCGAGTTGCCGAAGGTGGTGCTTCGTGAGCATGATCTGGATGCTGCATCGACCGTGTCAGATCGACGTACTCCCTTGAGTGTGATGACGCAACAGGCTCTCGGAGGAGCTGTGAAGTCGGCATTTGCTGTCCCATCCGATCCGCCTGCCAGGGGACGTGTTCCAACACCTCGAGCGGGCAAAAGACAAACTAACCGAAATTGTGGCAGCATGTCCCCCGCATCCGCGACGTCGAGGACGCAACGAATGCGCTTCACGCGGTGACGGAAGACAGCTGCATGATCAACTTTGAGACAGGGTGGCGGCCCCTTACCTGTGAAGTGGCTGGCAGTCGAGACCCCAAGGCTGCATGGTGAGCGCAGGCTCACACGAGCTGCAAGCCCACAGGTGCCCCGACAGAGGTTAGGAGGCTGGGCGAGGGCTGCTAAAACCGTGGCTGCTAAAACGGCCCCCCCGGCAGGAAAAGACAACGTCCCGGAATGAGGCGCGGCACGCGAAACAGTCAACGGGCTCCTTCCAGGAGGGACGACGACAGCTTCCCGGAGGTCGATCTTAGCAGCTACGGATTTAGCAGCCCTTGCCCGGCTTCCGAGAGGTGCCTGCCCAGGTGAGAAGTTCAATGTGACGGCGGCCGCGGCCGGCAGCGGCAGGGGCAGCGCCCGTCCGCCCGCAGACGACGCCTGGCTCCTGCTGCGCAGAGGAGGGGCAGACACGCCTTGCAATCATGGATTCCGCAGCAGCGTTGTCACGCCAGCCCCGCGTGTATTGCACCGTAGATGCGGTTTTTCCCAATCGTTCATTCAAAATATGAGCTCGTACCATCCCAGCCAGGCCGGACTCGACCCCCCCTCATCCTGGTCAAATCGGAGGTCGGGGGGTGAGATCGCAGTGGAACGGAGAGCCCCCCACCGGGAAGTCGGTTTCGGTTGCGTGTTCGTGTCGCGCGTGCGGGCGAGGCGAAGCTGCGTGGGCGCACGAGAGGAATGATGCCGCCGTGATTCGGGGATGTGTGGAGCCGGCTGTCCCCCCCCCAACCCCGGGCGCGCGGTGGCCGGGGGTGTCCCGTCGGTGTCGCGGCGGTGTCCCGTCGGTGTCCTGTCGATGGCGCGGCGGTGTCCCGTCGTTGGCGCGGGGTGCCCCGTCGGTGGCGCGGGGTGTCCCGTCGGTGGCGCGGCGGTGAGATCAATAGTGAGATCGATCGTGATATTGATTGCGAGATCTGTTGTGTGATCGATGGTGAGATTTGATGTAACATCGATTTTGGGATCTGTTGTGAGATCGATGGTGAGATCTGTGGTGGGATTGATAGTGAGATCGCCAGTGGGATCTACACTGGGATCGACAGTTGTATCGATCGTGAGATCGATCGTGCGATCGATTGTGAGATCGATTGTGAAACCGATAGTGAATTCGATGGTGGGATCGATTGTGAGATCGATAGTGGTACGGGTAGTGAAGACCGTTGTGAGATCGATAGTGGGTCCGAGTGAGAGGTCGATAGTGAGTTCGAATGACAGCGATGGTGATATCGGTTGTATAGGATTACGCCACATCCACCGACCCTTTGTTTTTGTATAGCCTTTTATCGCCGGATGTGATGGACGCCTTCACGGCGGCGGTATGTGGTTTCATCAGTAGGTCGTTTTAGGCCAATCGTGGTTTCGGGGTCGTGTTCGAGAGGCACGAAACTAGATTCCCCTAGCCCCTGCAGATGCGGATTGGAGTGAGGGGCTGCTTCGAGAATGAGTTCCCGCGGCAGGGGCACACTAGTGGCGCGCAGGAGACGGAACACCTGACGAGAGGAGTGAACATAGCGTGCGCAGATTGAGAGGACCTTGGTCTCACGGCGCGCAGCTGGCAGGCGTAGCAGTGCAGCGGCACGTGCAGGAGAAAACTACCGAAGTCGGTGTTTCCCCGTGAGGCCTGGCAGTGTCGCGCGCGACGAAAGGAAGGGCGCCCTGAAGTGCAAGGCGTGCAAAAGATGCGCATTCGAGCGCCCGTTCCGCGCTTCGTGGGACTAGGGCCCGAAGGGGAAAGCGAGAGCGGGGGCGAAACTGATGAGGAGGAGGCAGCTGAGAAGAAGGAGGCGCAGAAGGAGGAGGAAGAGGAGGATCAGGGGTAGGAGGGATAGAGGGAGGCAGGGGATGAGGCGGAGGAGGACGAAGAAGACAGGAGGGGGACGACAAGCGAGGATCCAGGCTTAGGGCCCTAACTGGGGCCTCCAGGGGCCGTTGGGGCCACGCTGGTACCCCCGTAACACATGTGTGCACCCTGGATCTGGAGACCTTGTGCGGGCATCCTGACCGTGAAGTCTTCCATGGTCTTCTGTCCATCCCGGCGTGGTTGTGCGTCGGAGTTTCGGGGATGTTTCGCTGGGTTTCTTCGGAGCGTTCTCGGGGGACAAACGGGGGGCAGTGTCAGAGTCCTGACGGAAACTCTTTGGGATCATTGTGTTTGCCGCGACTAACATTCGCAGCGTTCGCCGTGGACGCATGACTGTCGAATGGCATCCGGCCCATCCTGCCATCGTGCCTAGCTTGAGGGTCTGAAGCCAGTGGGATAGTCGTGTTCGCCGTGGACGCATGATTATCGAACGGCCTCCGGTCCATCCCGCCACCGTGCCTGACTTGTGGGTCTGAAGCCAGTGGGATAGTTGATGGGGTCTCGTCGGAGGTTTTTCGGGGGGGCTTAGAGGCATCCCGCCACCGTGCCTGGGGTGCGGGTCTGAGGCCAATCGGATGGTTGATGGGTCTCGTGGGAGGCCTTTCGGGGGCGTCCTGGAGGCATTTTTTTGACTTCTTGGAGGCCTTATGGAACCCTCGTGTTTTTTTGGGGGGAGCGCTCTCGGGGTTCACCGGGGGGTGATTGGGGCAACCTGGGGGCGTCTTGGGGCCGAAGGCTCGAAATGTCCGGTCGGGTTCCCCGTCCTTGGGCCCCCTTTTAGGACCGTCCTGAGGTCCTCCTGGGTCGTCTTGGGGGCTTCTTGGCCAGTCTTGGGGCCCTCTTGGGCCATCGTGGGGCCTTGTTGGGGGTCGCCTGTGCCGTTTTGGGGCGATTTGGGAGGCCTCTTGGGCCATCGTGGTCGTTGCGAAAATCTTAGAAGCGAAAATGCTAAAACCATACGCTTCCCCATGGGCATGGGAAGATGTTTGCTTTTTGGGGCCCTCTTGGGGGGCCTCTTAGAGGCCTCTGGGAGCGTCTTGGAGGCATCTTGAGCCGTGTGGATGCCATCTTGGGCGTCTTGGACAGATTTTCGGTGATTCGGGGCCCTCTTGGACCGTCTTGGGGCAGAGTGAGACGTTGGTTCCCCCCCCTTTCCGAACCTCCATATCACCCGAACGGTGGTCGCATAGGGAATCTTCTGCGCGCACATTCGCTTTTCAAGAATCAGAAGTTTTCGAACACCCTGGCAATTTTTCAACAACCGTCAGTCTCGTGAGGAATTCAAAACCGAGTGATCGAAAATGCTTGCAAACTCTACAAATAGTTCAGCACCATGATTTCTCAATCAAGAGGACACTGTGCGCGCGCTCTTGCTTGCGAGTGCTCAAGAAAACCATCGGTTTTCAACGTCGTCATCAAATGCAACCAAACGGCCGCTTCGCGCGCGCGTGTCGGAATCATTCGAACGCCTTTGCGCGCGTGCGGGGGGGGGGGCGCGAGCCCTGTCAAAGAATGTCATGCGGGCCACCCTTGCGCGTCGGCAGCTCGCGCGTGCCGAAATTCCTCCAAGTCTCCAATCGCCGACGCGTGGACGCCATTATCGTCATCGGCGTGGTCAGCGTCGGCGCCATTATCGGCCTTGCCGTCGTCGTTGTCATCGTCGTTACCAGCATCGCTGCTGTCACCGTCGTGTCTACAATATTGTAGACGTCGCTATGATGCCGCGCCCGCCCGAGTCACCGACTCGCATTGAAGTGCACGCGCGTCAGCGCGGCTTGCGAGGCGCACTGGGAAATACCCAGCGTCCAGCGCCACCGCGGCCGCGTCGGTCGCGCCAGGCCAGCTGGCCGCTCCGCGCGCGAGCCGGCCGCATCGATGTGCCAGCCAGCGCCAAGCAGTCTTCGCGATCGCCGCCGCGTTGGTTCTGCGAACGAAGTTACGAGTGGGGGGCGGGTGGGACTGTTGCGCGATCAGCGGAGTGGACAATTACAAGTTCGGCATGGTAGTTGCGCCACGTAGATTACCCTTCCTAATCGGGCACAAGGATCTATCTCCCCCCCGGAGTTCACGTTGCACCTTTTCGCATTGCTATTTCGCATGATTCTGCGCACTTGTCCATCCGACACATGAACTCACACATTTCGGGCAGTCCGCCTATCGCCCCCCTCGTCCTTTTCGAAAAAATATGCGCGCTTTCGTTTAGCAGGAATCATGAGTGTAATGGCCTCTTTGCAACCTGTGAGACGACATGCACCCGCGCGCGTCGTCGCGCACGCATGCCGACATGTTTCAAGAACCGTCGGTTTCGTGAGGAATTCGAAACCGAGCGCCCCGAACACAAGTTGAAACAAGACAGACGGATTCGCATCATGAGTTCCCGAACAAAGCCAGCGGTCGAGCTCTTGCGAATTCTTGCGACAGCCAATGGTTTTCCAACGTATTCATCACATCCGACCAAATGTAATTCTCGCGCGCGTGTCGAAATCATTCGAACGCCCGCGCGCATGCCACAATCCTTCAAGCACGGAAGGTTTTGGGATGTGAACATCGAGTGCCCCCGAACACATTTCAAATGCGCTCTTGCGAATTCGTAAGAGAGCCATCGGATTTCCAACGCTTCCATCGCGTGCGACTCAGCGGGTCCTTCGCGCGCGAGTCGAAATCATTCGGACGCCCTTGCGCGCTTGTTGCGTCTGTGTGTGTGTATGTGTGTGTGTGCGTGCGTGCGTGCGTGCGTGCGTGCGCGCGCGCGTGTGTGTGTGTGTGGTGTGTGTGTGTGTGTGTGTGTGTTGTGTGTGTGTGTGTGTGTGGTGCGCGTTGTGCGTGCGTGCGCGCTGCACCGCGGCGTGTAACCGGTGGGGGTTGGGGGGGGGGGGGAGGGGGGGGGTGGGTGGGCGCGATCCTTGTCAAATAGTGCCATGCGGGCAACTCGCTCAACTCGCTCGAATCGGCCGCTCGCGCATGTCGGAGTCCTTATCGCAACGTTCATCCAACGTTCATCGTCGACGCAGGGGTGCCATCTTCGTCATCGCCGCGGCCAGCATCGGCGCCGCCTCTGTCATCATCTTCGCCAGAGCATCGCTAATATCATCCTGTCTGCCGTTGTCAACGTCGCCATGCTACCGCATCCACCCAGTTCGCCGACTCGCAGAGCGCCCGCGCGTCAGCGCGGCCTGCGGGGCGCGTTGGGAAGTGCCCAGCGGTCGGCGCCGCCGCGGCCGCGTCGGCCGCGCTGAACTAGCTGGCCGCTCTGCGCGCAAGCGCGGCCGCAGCGATGCGACGTCGGCGCCCAGCAGGTCATGGGAATCGCCGCTTCGTGGGTTTTGCAAACAAAGGTGCGGGCGGGCGGGTGGGATGTCTGCGCGAGGTGTGGACTTGACAATTTCAAGTTCGGCAGGGCGAGCTGCGCCACGTAGACTGCGCCGCATTCGCCGCGCCACGCGGATTGCGCCGCAAAGATTACGCAAGATAGATCGAGAAACGTAGATTCTCATCCCTCGAAAGAAATGAGGCCCTGCCCCCCCTGGTTCATCGGTTCCCTTCGGGATAGTACAATGTGCAAATGCTGTTGCCCTATCGCCCCGGCCGCGCCGCCCCCCCGCGCGCCCGCCCCCCC